TCAAAGCCCAAGGGTGTTTAATTCAAACCCAATTTCAAATCAATTTCATGAACATGGAGAACATGCAAACATGCATGAATTCAAATCAATTCAAAGCTTCAAAACATGCTGTAGAGAGCCAATTGTTTCCAAAACATGATGAAATCATGGACTTAAACATAATTGTGAACATGCATGTAACATTTGCCATGAAAACAACTCAACATCTACAATACAACCATGCATGCAAGGATTGAGCTTCAATTCAACAACAATGAACCAAAACATGACTTAGTTCTACAATGAAGCATGAATCATGCAAGAACTAGCTCAATAAGAGGGTAATTACTCTACCTTAGGTCTCCAATGCAAGACTAGGAGCTCAATTTAGCAATCTACACTTCAATTACCAAGCAATTCTTCAAGTTTCCAAGCAATTCAAGGTGAATTCACTCTAACTCCCTATCTCCCTCTCTCTAGTCGGTGGTGTGCTCAAAATGAGCTGATGAAATGTGTATGTGTGAGTGCAATGAGCTCAAAGGTGTATAGGTAGTGGGCACTTAAGGCTAGTTTGGTAAATAAGGCCAACCTATGCAATTAACTCATTTTAATCTAATTTAATCATACCTAATCAGTTTTCAGATAAATATACCATAAAATCACATTAATTATGAGGATCATAAAACATCAATCAATTCCCGGTTCGGCCGCCGATAAGGCCTTCAATTAGCAGTTTAAACATAACACGGGAACAGATCATTCAAACAATCAACAGATAGAATACAGATTAACACTCATACTCAGTCAATTCAGTTCCAGTTTTTCAGTCAATCAGTTCGGTACTTTATTCAGTTCAATTATCAGTCATAATCAGTTCAGTTATCAGTCATAATCAGTTCAGTTTAACGGTAATCAGTGTTTATCGGTAAGCAGTGGTGAGAGTTATTACAAAAGGATAATAGAGAAATTGAGCGACAGAGAGAGAGGACCCATACCTAATCTCGGGGTTGTTTGAAGATAGGCGAACTGGTAGTAGCAGAAAAATGGTGATAGTGGTGCTGTTAGGTGTGAAAAGAGAGAGCAACCATGTGAGTAAGAGGAGTAATGGAACACAAATACAAAGATTGAGAGAGAGAGAGAGAGAGAGATAAAATACATACCTAACAATGGAGGCCCATGCACTTCTCGAAGCGTCGCCGATGCTTGGTCGAAAAAGCGACACAAGCAACTACGATGACGGAGGAGGAGCGACTTTGTTGACTGCAATCGAGCAGGAGAATCGACGATGAGGTGCATATGAGGAGTGGTGCGCGGGAGTGACTGTATAAAGAGTTTGAAAAATTTCACTCGGCCGATATAGGGCAATTTTTTCTCTACAAAACTGTTTGGTCAATATTGAATCAAAATTTACTTAAATAACATTCAAAATGGGGTCGTTTTAACATTTGCAACCAAATTTTGTGCGCTAAAATTTTTACAGATGTTTACAATTTTACAGATGTTTCCAATATTATCAACTCATTTTTTTTCCAGATGTTTCCAATTTTGATTTTTTTTTTGTTTTTGTTGTGTAGGCATATACAAAATGTATTTACGTAGTAGTTTAAATCAATAGTGTAATACGAAATCTTGTGAATGGAATATAATTAACTTATTATTTTAAGGTAGTTGACAAATTATTTAGTATAATTTGTGATTTCTCATATTTTGAGCATCACATAGGCAACGCCATATGGTACTCGAAGACTATGTAATAATTTACGTTCAAAACACATCATTTATAACCAATAAGATCTCTTTAATCTTTTTTGTCAAATAAAAATTAAATAGATTTTATAATAATTTGTGCTATAAATGATATGTTTTTATTTTCTAAAAATAGGAATTTTGAAACCTGGTAATTTTTTGTGCCAAAATTACAAACTTATATTACCATCCTGCATCGATGTATTACACACTATTATAGAATTTTGATTTGTTCCTATTAATAATGATTTTTAATTTGTTATGCTTAAATTTAGCTCATAAAATTATTCTTATCTTATTATTCTTATCTTAATTTAGCTCATAATGATTTTTTTTAAATAACAAATTATAATTAATAACTGCCCCCTCTAACTTAATTTCCTTGCTCTGCCACTGACCATCGCAACATCAAGCCCATCTCCAATGGAAGTAAACAAAGCCGAAAAGCCAGCAGTGGAGGCTCCACCAGCTCTAGCCTAAGAAGATTAAGCGTGGTCGGCTTGTTCCCATAGAATGACGGTGGACCCACCATCAAATTAGTCAAATCGACGGCGGCTCAATCGATGTAGAGCCCTAGCCCTAGCCTATAGCTATTGATGAGTTGCTCTCTGGTATCACCACCACAAGGCTTACAGTTATATGTGCTAATCAAGATCTAGGTATGAATACTTTCTTCAATGGGTTGGGTCTGTAGGAGATATAGAAGGATGGCTTCGACAAAGCAGGGTGATGGATAAATGGCTTGAAGGAGTTCTCACTTTTGGCCACACCAACCCTTTTAACTCTAAGGTTGATTTCTCAACCAAGATCGATACGATTTTTATCAGTGGAGGAAGATCTTCATGCCTTAATCGATTCTCAAGTGATAGATAAATGCCTCTTTTCTTCTTACTAGCCTAGTTATTAGGCACCGCCGGTGGTGTCGGTGATGGTGGCAAAGACATACAGAGCGGCTTGAGGGATTGAGATCGATGGCCCACAAATGGGGAAGAGAGAACTCCTTCAGATAAACAAATTCAATTTAGGGCAAAAAAATAAGGAAAGAAAAATATATATATATATATATATATGTGGTTATTGGCAACTAAAATATTTTTTAGTCGCTAAATATATTTTATAAATCTCTCCAAAATTTGAAATGTCTCCCTCCAAATATTTTAGTTCTTTGGCGACTAAAAATTGTTTTAGTCGCAAAAAATAAATATATGGCAACCAAACGTTTGGTCGCCATTGTTTTTCATTCGGCGACTAAATAATTTTAGTAGGCAAAACTAACTATACAACGACTAAAATATGTTTTAGTCGCTAAAAATAAATATTTTGCGACAAAACTTTTGGTCGCCAAGATAAAAAGTAAATTTTTGTTTTTCATTCAGCGACTAAATAATTTTAGTAGGCAAAACTAACTATACAGTGACTAAAATATGTTTTAGTCGCTAAAAATAAATATTGTTTAGTCGCCAAAGATAAAAAGTATATTTTTGTTTTTCATTCTGCGACTAAATAATTTTAGTAGGCAAAACTAACTATACAACGACTAAAATATGTTTTAGTCGCTGAAAATAAATATTTGGCGACCAAACTTTTGGTCGCCAAAGATAAAAAGTAAATTTTTGTTTTTCATTCGGCGACTAAATAATTTTAGTAGGCAAAACTAACTATACAGCGTCTAAAATATGTTTTAGCCGCTGAAAATAAATATTTGGCGACCAAACTTTTGGTCGCCAAAGATAAAAATTAAATTTTTGTTTTTCATTCAATGACTAAATAATTTTAGTAGCCAAAATTAACTATACAACGACTAACATATGTTTTAGTCGCCAATTGTGACATTTTTAGCGACTAATTTTTTTTTAGTCGTCAATAATCAATATATCCCGACTAAAAAAATTTAGTAGTTAAATACTGTACTTTTGCCAACTAACATAATTTTTTATCGCCAATTCCATAACTTTTAACGACCAAAATATTATTAATCGACAAACGTGATCGCCAAAAATATATTTCCTTGTAGTGCTTGCTAGAATACTAATTGAACTAACTTTGTGGGCTTGTTGATTTTTTTGTAACCATCAAAAGAGTAACCATCAAAAGAATATAATAAGAGTGGATCAAAGGGTTCATCTTTTTTTGAATGGGAACCCTTGCCATATTATTAATAAAATAGAGGACACATTTTTTTAAGTTTGCTTAATGGGAGAGATATCAAAGTTGAGGTTGAGCCTATAGCTTGTGTCTTTTGTGGATGAGGGGTTGCTCTTGTGCCAATTGTTGTACTTTAATTTTGAAACTTATTATGAATTTATTTTTATGATGTGAATCGTTCATTTTGTAGGGTTTGTTGACTACTTTAAGGATGTCAAAAATCATATTAATCGAATATTGGTAACTATATGATTGAATTATATTTATCATTAAAAAAATAAACAAGTTTTTCTTTTGAGAAATAGCATAAAAAATATGCAATCAGATCATATAGTTATCAATATCCGATGAATATAAGTTTTGGCAGACATGAAGTACTTAATGAACCCTATAAAATGAATGGTTCGGATTATAAAAATAAGTTCATAATAAATCTCAAATTGAAGCACAATAATTATTGTTGTAGCACAGAAGCAACTCATATCCGTCTTTTTTGTTTAGTTACTTTCTATTATATTATTGGTATAAATTCAGGGACGAAAAAAGGTCACTATGGATTACAATTTTCATGCCAAGTTGAAAAATGACTGTTGTTGTAACCAGAATGGAAAAAAGGGTGGAGTTGTATATATGAAATGACTGTTGTTGTAACCAGAATGGAAAAAAGGGTGGAGTTGTATATATGAATGGAAGTTTGGTATTTTCTTTTGAAGGGTATAAAGTGGCTCTGATATTCCTTACTACTATACACAAATGTAATTTACATATAAAAATGACATATGGTATAATGCATCTCATTTATATCAATTAATTAAAGTAAAATGTTCATCATTGTGATATATACTTATAAAATGTCGTTAACACATAATTCTATATAAATATTTTGTATAAAAGTTCTACATATGTTTAGCATTTTTTATTTCTCGACAGAGATATATCAGTTATGTTATGAACACACAATTTTTACAATATAAGAAAAATTTACAATAAAAGATAAGTGCCACTATATATATACACATCAATATCAGGATTACAAAAATACTCACATAACTGTATACTCCACAAAAATCAAATACAAAATGAATTACAGGCACTTATAGTAAGTTTAAAAAATCACATGTCTCATTACATGTTCAATGATATTTTCTTATTTGTCTAATATTTTGTTGTTTTGAGAACTATATATTCATTTAGTTCTATACTACTAGTCGGGATTTGCAATTGCATTATTATTTGTAATCCAGATTGTATTTGATTTATGTGTTATTATTATCAATACTCCAAGATTAATTATGGTGGCTTTATTCCTAGGTAAAGAAGATACCAAACCTTTCATACCAATTTCAAGCTAAGAACCTAAGACTTGCTCTACACCTTCCTCCCAATCACCAAACCCTACCTCTAAATTCACCATAAACACAACAAACCCCCTACCATCCACCGGATGTTGTTTCCCCACCACCACCGCCGCCGCCGCCACCATGGACCACCTCCCCGATCACGGCCACCACCACCACCACGCAATGTCATCAAAACACATGTTACCGAAAATCCACCACACGAGCCCATTCATCTGGTTCGTGGCCGTACTCTGCACCGTGATAACGGTGGCGGTGATAATCGCCGGAATCATCGTCTTCGCCGGTTACATTGCGATAAGGCCGAGAATCCCCTTCATCTCCGTCACATACTCTCACCTCGACCTCTTCGAGTACTCTCAAGCCGGCGTCCTCACCACCAAGGTCAGCATCACGATCAAGTGGGAGAACGACAACGCCAAGGCTCACGCCAGCTTCTACGACGCCGCCTTCATCCTCAGCCTCCACGGCTTCGAGATCGCCAAGCTTGTCGCGCCTCCCTTCGACGTCAGGAAGAACAGCTTCGTCGAATTCGCTTACCAGGTCGAGTCCTCGCCGATTTCGTTGAGTCCCGATCAGATGGATCTCGTGGACATGTATCTGAAACAGGATTTGGTTAAGTTTGGGCTGATCGGGACGGCGAGGACGCGGTGGCGCGTGGGGTTGCTTGGATCGGTGAAGTTCACATTGCACTTGAATTGTCACCTCAATTTCATTAAGTCGAGTATGAATAGCACTGGATTGTATTGCAGCTCCAGGAAGTAAAATCATTCATTCATTTTCTTTTCCCTCATAGATGATTTGATTCCATGTTCTTCTCATCTGTTGTTGTTGTATAGATAGTTTCTCTGTTTTTCTTTTTCATGTTTTTGGTTCAAATCCATTACCAAAATTAGGTCTAATTAAATAAAAATCGGAATTTATATAGATAGATAAGATTTCTTATACGTGTATTTCAGTAATATAATGAATTTTGTAAATTTTTTCCCATTTGTGTATGTTATGGAGTTGAGTTCCTCATGCAATTTGATGATGTGGTTGGGCTTAGAAGATTTTTAGAGAATATTATTCATGTTAAAAATTATGTTAATTGGACAACTTATCTTATTTTTTAATAAAATAGATGATCCATTTTTGAAATTATATATGTCATTCATTTTTTGTTTTTAAGACAAATTTGGAATTACAATTATTCGATTAATTTAATTTTTTACATTTATGATGTACTCGAAGAGTTTTAAATTGAACGGTTTATATTATCAAAGGGTCTTAAATTGAATGATCTACAAAAAGCTAGAACACCATTTGTCACATGATTACTCTCCATGTGACAACAAACAACTAAAGAATAGCCATAAACTCTATTGATTTGCAATTATTTTATCATTTTCCATTTATATGACATTCTCTATTTGTTATTTTTATTTATTTATGAATTTTTATTTTTTTGCTGAAAGTGCAAAATCATGTCACATTTAATTACCAAATGTGTATCTATATAAGGAGCGATCAACACAAACAATTTACACATTTTTTGGATTATTTTTTTTGCAATTATTGTTAGAGTTTTAAGAAACATATGCATTTTGAGTTACCAAGCAATGTTAATCTAATTCATTCAATGACAGTCAATTTACAGTATATATATGCTCAAGAAAAAGAAAATATGAAAAACAGGTTTTAGTAAAGCTGTTAACATTAATTTTCAAGGCATCATTTATGCTGGAAAAAAGAAAAAGACCAAAGAATTAAAAGAAGGAAAGTGTTATCCGACTCAAATTTTTTACTAAATGAATGATTAAATATTTTACATGAGTGTAGAGTCCATAAAAGTGTGAATCTCATACTCATATGAGACATTTCATTATTTATTTGATAAAAAATTTGATATTTCTAACATTACTCTTAAAAAGAAAAAATACAAAAGCAGAGTCACACACCTTTTAAATGAAGCTTTTTGCCTCCAATCTCCTGCATGTGCAATAATCTGTTTGGCAATTACATTTAAACTATTTTTTGTTTTTTGTTTTTTATTTTTTATTTTTTGTTTTTGGGGACTAAAGAAGTACTACAAAAAAGTACAATTTTTTTTTTTTAGTAAGCCTTTTTTTTTTTTTTTTTTTTTTTTGAATTTGTAAAAAAGTATTCACCATAGATTGAAAAAAAAAGAAGATCCAAATTCACAAAGGATTTTTTTTTTCCGCCCAAATTTGATCCATTTTCTTTTTATAAAAATTAGGATCTTCTAATATAGAATTTGAAAAAAGATAACTAAAAAAAGCATTTGTCAAACATAGGAGGCATCAGAAAACTTGATTAGCAACAAAAATAACGAACAAATTGATGTAATATTTATTTTTTAATTTTTTTTGTTGTTCCTCTTCTTTAAGGTCAAGTTTGACTACTCAAAATAAGTACACACTTTTTATCTTTTTATTTTTTTTCCATCACATCATCTCTTTACTTTTCTGCACATCTTTTTATAAAAAGATAAAAAATACATTTATTTAAGTCATCCCAAAGAACCTCTAAATCTCACTAGAGGTTCTTCAATATCAAATTGTTGGATAATTTCCCAAAGTCATGATTTCTGCATGTAGATGATGAAGTGACTGAAACTCTCACTTCCAACTTTTAACAAGTAAAAGATACCTACAAGACAGAATAGCGAACTACCTGAATATCGCTGGAAAGCTCTTTCAATGCCTAGGTCGGATCAAGGATCATGAATGCGATAGCTAGGAAAAGTAATGTTTGAGGTTTGTACGCATAATTATTTTTACTTGGCCTCCGTTCGAGAAGTGGGTTAATTTTTTGACTTTTTATTTTTTTGATTATTTTAATCTGGATTCAAAAAGTTTAGTTTGGGAAAGGCTTTTTGACTTTTTGATTTTTTTGACTTTTTTTATGAGAGAAGAATGTAATGATTGTGAGTTGGATGTGATATTTTATTTTTGTGGCTAAAATAGTCTATTTTGTCTTTTGTGACTAAAATAGCTAAAAAAGCCCCGTTTAGCTCTTGCCAAACGGAGCCCTAGTAAGTCTGAGAATCAGACTTAGGCCTTGTTTGGGAACCTTTCATTTTAGTTAAAAAATTAAAAGTCAAAAAGTTACTAAATTAGTCAAAAAGTCAATAATTCATACAAAAAAGTCAAAGATTCTCTTTTCTCTCTACTTTTTACACATTTTTTTGTAAAAAGTTAAAAAATCATCCTAAACATACTAATTTTTTTAACTCATATTTTAACCATATAACTAAAAAATTATTAAATTAACTTGATCCCAAACAAGACCTTATTCACTTAGATTTTTTTAAGTGAGTAGTTATGTAATGAAATTAAATTTATATAATATGAGATTTATACGGAAAATAAATTTAAATAATTGTTGAATTATTAAGTTTGGATTCATAGTAATACCTGATTTTTATCAGCCACTTTTTTGGGTGTGTGACGTGGAGGAGTGACTGACCAGCAAAAGCTATGGAAGACAAAAGAGGTTACAATAGTTGCTTTTTACCACAGCAAACAAGCTTTTAGGGGGGCCAATGTCACCTTAAAAAAATATATATATTTTATTGAGGAGAAAAAAAAAACATAGATAAAAAGGATGGGTCCCAACGAGAGGGGAGAAAATGGTTAGGTTGAGAAGCAAAGTTGGCGCTTCGTAACAAAAATGAACCAAGACTTTTCACCAAATTTTTCATTAATAATAGTCCGTCTGGTGTATCTATTAAAATAGATTAAAATTTATAATTTAGCAGATTATAAATTATGATTTTAATCAAAAATTATTAATTTGTTTAGTGTAACTGTTAGATTATAAATTTAAGTTACTGAGTAGTATTTATTAAATAAACTGTAAAGTAATTTTTTCAATTAATTTTTATTTTTTGTTATTTAATACTTATGTACATTTCTCATAAATAATAATAATAATATTTTATAATCCATTTGGGTCTTTTTTATTTTTAAAAAAATAAAAAATAAAAAATAAAAAAATCTAAGAGTATAACCATAAATTAACATGTCCAACAGCAGAAGTTGATAATCAGAAGTAAGGAATGACCAGCTTCTCAGAATCAATTTTTTTTACTTAAAATAAGTTATTAAAATAAAAAACTGCTTAAAATAAGTTTAACTAAATAATTTAAAATAATTTTTCAAAAACCAAAAGTCGTAAATTGAGTCAGAAAAACTGTAACAAACACGCTCAATATGTTTTGTTCTCATGTTCTGAGATTGTGTGAATAAAGTCCAACTCTTCATGACTCAGTACTTTGCGCTAGTGGAAGTTGCAGCTAGCCCAAAAAAAAAAAAAAAGAAAAACAGCATAAGAGCTAGCTACAAAAAAAAAAAAGCAACAACAACAAATGGATACCTGTAAAAAAAATTAAAAAAAGCCTTAGAATGACTTCAACATTCCACTAAACCAGAAATCTTCTTAATGGAATCTTGAATAATAGAAGATGTATTTGATTTGATAATGTCCTATCAAAGGGTAAATCCATTGGATTCATTATGGTGGCTTTATCTTTAGAAAAAGAAAGATACCCAAAATTTCCTACCAATTATAGAAGTAGGATTGGATTTTATTTGACTTGAATCTGGTTGGTTAAACTTGAACAGTTGGAGAGAAATTCTATCATCCAAATCTGTCTAATATGATATTAATGTTGTGTTTGATTGAGAAATTTGGAAGGGATTTGAAAAATAAAAAAGAAAAATATGTGTGAAACTAGATAAAATGTAAATATATTTTATTCACATTTTACTTACTTTCTTTTCTTTTCTTTTCTAAATCATTTTTCAAATTTTCAACCATATACAATGTAAATAAACCGGATATGTAATAATTTGATATGATCCAATTAATAATCCAATCCAGATATCAATTTTTATAGTATTCTTTTCAATGAATAAATGAGAGGTTATTGCAATAACCACATTTTGCATGGAATCCCAACCTATGAAGCAACTAGAGAGACATATGTATTAGAAAGGTGGTAGTGAAATATTATATTTCAATTTCTCCATTCCTTGTTTTAAAAAAAAAAATTCTCTCCATATTATATTTGTAATGGAAGGTCTTCATTACAAATCTAATGATTATGAAGCAACAATGTAAATTTATAATTATTTTAAATTAAAAAATCATTATTACACCTATCATTGGATGATATAATATAGTCTCTCCATTATAAATATGTAATTAAGAATATCACAATCCTCAAATATATTACATCACATCATATTATTTTTAATAGTTATTTTTATTTAATATTTTTATTCTTATTTTTTTTTCCTTTAATCAATTTATTCCTAATCTTTCATTTACTAATTCACCTTTTACTGTGTTTTTTTGACTCAGTGGGAACTATTAAGTAGGGCTAGGCATAGGATTATTCCAACCGTACAATTTGCCCAACCCGAACCGATCCACATATAAATGGGCAGTTTCGCAGACACAATGCGGACAGATGCGATTTGGAATATGACATGATTGTGGGTTGCGGGCTTAACCTGCACCCACAAGAACTTGCCTGCACTTAGACCTTTTTTTTTAAAAAATTTTTTAATTTTTTTTTAAAACCTAGACCGTTGATATTTTATTATTGCATTTTGGATGAATGTAAAAGTTAATGAAGAATTACTTTTAGATAAGCTGGATTTTGAATGATTTTACTTTAATTGTATTGTTAGGTAGTAGATAGTAAATGCGATTGATGATCTAATTTAGGATTTTGAAAGATGTATTTGTGTTAGTTTATGATTTGATTTAAAAGTTTAGGATTTTGAATGATTTGTTTGTATAAAGAATTGATTTTGCTGTATTTTTAATTTTATAAGTTTTAATTTATTAATTATTAATATTGGAGCATTTTAGAAAATGGGAGAAAATGACCCAAAATAAATATTTACAAAATGGGAAAAAAAAGGCTCCAA